AATGATGTCCAGTCTGTTTCTTTTTTTCGTTAGGAGATTGGTAACAGCGCTGAACCCCCTTTCCACTAGGTATGACGATGGAAAAGAAATTAAAAATTTCCTCGCTATATTCCATAATTCGCTATATTCAAGGTTTTTACAAGTTCAAAATGTATTGCGACCACACAGCGAATGCCTACATCTTACACAATTTTATAAACATATATAATATTCTTTTTACTTCATAAGTAGTTTTATAAATAATGTATATGTCTTTATATTATAAGATAGTATAATGTAAGTAAATAGGTACCATCAGTGTATGTTGCGATCCAGTATTGTGGATCTCCATTTTCATTTCATGGACCCCCAAATTTTTTTTTTCGTTGACGTAGACCCCTTGCAGGTTGTCATAGACCCCGGGGGGTCGATATAGACCACTTTGGGAATCACTGATCTAGATATTGAATATAGTGGAATCGATGTACAGTGGAACCTCGCTTAACGAGTTTAATTCCGGATTTTTACACAAGTTTTAAAAATGATCGTTAAGCGAGTCATCTCTCTTACAATTGATTTTGCTCGTTATGCGAGGTTCCACTGTACACAGTTCTCTTCGTGTCCATTAACCTGTTAACACAATACGATGATGATTCAACTATTAGAATGAGCATTTTTGTACGTTTTTTTTTATATCTAGGTATCTGAATGGTGAATATTGCGGAGCGCGTTCGTTTGTTGGCATTCACGCCCTACTTACTCCAAATGAAATGGACGTATGTTTTATGTGCGCAACCCGATATGATGATATTTAATAGGAACAAACGCCTTTACTTTTATATCATCGAACGTTACAAATATTCGCAAACACATTTTCAATGTGTCGATTATTGCAAACATGAAATTTCTCCATTCATACGTGTTTTTAGCGATTGCTCTGATTTGTTCTGCTATGCTTTGGTTGATCTTCTGAATGTTGGTGTTCGTAAGCAATTAAATCCGATTAACAGAGCACGCAACCCAATTGTAAATTGATTTCATTTCGTGTAAGGAATAACACTTGAATTTGCATCCATTACATTTCATTGTTAAAACTGCATTAATAATAATTATTACTTCGTGTCTCTGCGTTGGACAATTTTAAAATATGTTTCTTTTTCGTTAATCCACATCGTGGATACACATTGTACAATATGTGTGCGGCTGAGAAAAAGTGAGTGGTCCGGCAATAAAAGTGAGTCATGTTATACCAATAAAACAGGTTTCATGTGTGTATTTTGTTTGTGCCTCATCGGATCTTCGCCAAATGTCTTCACAGACATAAACTATTTTTAAAATTATCGTGCAAATGTGTGTTTTTCTTCGTTTGTTACATATTTCAAACGAAACATCAACGGTAATACGGTCAGCAGCGTGAAATTTGCGTGCGAATCGAGCGTACGTTCAACTCTCGCACAATGAATGTGAAATAACGAAAGAAGAAATCATTATGAACGAGAGGAATCGACGTTCGCGTTATTATTATAAAGTTTAGCAATAATATGAAAAAAAAACATTATTATTTCTAACAATTTCGTTTGTTAATTATCGTCGTTTTTGTTCTTGCAAATTACACTTTCACCGTTTCCTAATCGATTCATTTTTATTTGATTTAATCTTTCTTTTTCTGCATTGGTTGAAGCCATATGCTATTAAGTGTGTAATTTTGTTCTTCGACTGTTCGTATGCATATGGAAAATAATGTTACTGTTACTAGCTAGAATGTAGCACTTAAAAATATGAACCGTTAAGTTTCCTGTTTCTTCGAATACAATGCCCAGACGTAGAACGTGCGTCTCTTTCAATTCCGGTTGTACTCATCATCAACGTCCTATTAGTATTAGTTTCGCGCAGATGATTTAACAAAAAAAAATATTTATGTTTAATCGTATTTTGGGAACGGAACGAATGGGAGAAGGGCGATTGGGGGGGTGTAAAGTCGTCCACCGTTAGCGGAGGTGAGAGTTTTGATGGAATTATTATTAAAACCAATTTGCAGAGTTAATTGGGTGGGACGTCGCGCTTCGTGGCAGCACCAAATTCATGATTACAATTAACGTGTAATGTAATACACGTTAGTTGCAGGATTGCGGCGCTAATTTTCTATTCCTCGCTCGAGGTTCAAATAGAAAAAATTGTAACGAAGAATGCTTCCTGTGCAGTCCGCTAAAAGTATTTGTAACATCGTAAATATCAACATTATTGAAATTGCGACATTTCGTTTGGTAACTAACAAACTTATTATCATGTTGGCTGTTTATTTTTAAGTTCGCTTTTGTTTCACGACTGTTAACTGTTTCGTAATTTCATTGCTTTGTTTTTTTTTACTATTGAACGAAACGTGTATTTAGTTTTGTTTCTTTTAGAAAATTCCTCGGTGCGTTTGCACCATTGCCTCCTCTATATATTCGATTCATTGCCGTTGGTATTTATATTGAAACAATCTATCGCATTTGAAGTGATCGGCGTTCCGCATTCGGCGATGATTCACTCATATCCATTCGCCAGACTTGAATTTAACACTATCGTGCGGACAAAGAAAATTAGCTTGAAAGAAAAAATGCAGAGAGAAAAAGAAAGGAAGTCGGTCGTGCACATATACCTGTTTATATTAATTATTTATTAGTCATCGTTTGCAGACACTGCAAGGTATGCAACGTCTCATACATCGACATTGTTATGCAGGCAAAATCAATTCAAACGAATTTTGTTAATAATATGTTGTTTATTCTAATTTCCTGCGGACCCTTGGCTCGTGGTAGACGGGGCTCTGGATTTCGCGATTCCTGACCGACCATCTAAGCTTCTTCGCGTTATCCCATTTCCTATAGAACAGATCAACAACATCATCATTAATCATCATAAGATTTATGTCCGGACATCCGTCGACTTACGCTAAAGTCAGTTCCAATTGGTACAGCTTCAGTTCGGACGTATAATAGATTTTCTTCATCTCCATCATCTTGTCCTTCCAGTGGTTGATTTTGATCTTGTTGTCGTACACCTCTGATTCGTACGCGTCCATGATTAGCACTGGTCGTAGTCGCACGTCGAAAGTGCAAAATTGCATTCACATAAGGTCGGCAATCGGGAATAGATTGTGCTGTTATTCATTGGACTCGTCCCAAAATAGGACAAATGAGAAAAAATAATTTACTTGTCTTGTTCTTTCTTCCATATTCTGTCTCATTTTCGTTTACTGTGTATGTTTATTATATTGAATCATAACAATAAGAACTGCAATTACATAATAATTGCATAATAGATGATATAAGCAAGACGTATGAACATATTTATCTCGCTGCATCCCAGGCTAAAAATGTTCAGACGCTTTATCGATCGGCTCCAGTCGGGGATGCGAGCCCTGAATTGGGACCGAGCGCGACCGAATGCACCGGGGATGAAAGTACCAGTCCAGGGTGAAAACGCGCCGCGAAAGACGGGCGCGGATCGTCCGATCTGCGAAATCTCCACCCTAACATCTTCGTTGCATAATAACAACAGAAAGAATCGTAACCACTCATCAATCATCATCATCATATCCAAACTGTTGTCTATCAAAACGACAGAATAATATCAAACACGCAACTGCAATGGTAATTACAACCGAATCATACACTCGTAATTAGGTGCACCTTAATATTTAATTTTGTTTGTTGATGTTTCTTGTTGTTGTTGTTGTTGTTTTCATTTTGTGTGTGTGTGTGTAGATGAAAATCAACGCTGAGAAGAGAAGCTCGTAGTTAAAATCAATAATCTCGCTCTCTAGTATACCATTAATTTATTTTTGGTGTTCGAGTGTTCGCTATCGTGTTCCTTTTGAAGTGCTCCAAATTTAAATCTTGAAGAGAAAAAAAAACCTCTTCACAAATTAAACGATATATAATTTTAAGCTCTTGAGCGAAACTTTCTTCCTTTTGAAATCCTCAGATATGAGCACTTTCTCCAGCAGAGAAAGTTCATCAGCTCATTCTTCTTCGTTTTGTCTAAAGTAAAACATAATTATTGGAGCAATATAAAAAAAGCATGTATATTGCCCGATTTTAGATTTGAATTTAATTTGCACAATCATTGTGCGATTATTTAGAAATTAATATCGTTTAGTGAAATTGCTTTGAGATGAACATGTCCATTACTTTCAATATACAAGCGTGGCAAATTAATTCGGTGTCGCTGACGAGTAGAACAGACGAACACTTTATAGTATCGTTTCCACAGTGATATATCTCGCAACTTTTGTTTTCAATGAATATGTGTTATGTGCACAGATATGTAGATGAATAAATTGGGATAACAATATTTGCTCGTGCTCATGTTGTGTCTTATTTGGTTTGTTTGGTAGTTATGAAGTGTGCGGAGAGAGTAGAACCGACGCACCGAAATGGTGTTGCAGAAATTGGTGTCTACTAGATATTGGTACGCAAGACATCTTAACAATAAACGGTAAGAATTAATTACTTTTATTTGAAATATCCATCCATGTATGTTTACCGAGTGCATGCATCGTGGGTAGTCTACGTATTGCAGCAACCAACATCAACTGGTGGCCTACGTTAAAAAATTGACCGCGATACTAGGGCGTAGTTATGTAACATGCGCTTTTATATTTGCTATGAATTTCCATTCGTGATTCAATTGCAGCTATAAATATTCAATATATGTGTATATTCTCGAATTGACAATTTTGTTTCTTTGTCCCGGCGCATCCACCATATTTGTTGTTAAATTTGTATTAACGCGCATATTTTTCTTTGGTTTCAGGTACGTTGAGCGTATGTTTCGTTGAGTTATTGGGTGAGTCTCTTCGCACTTTGTTTTTGGTATTGCTGAGAAACATATATTACAAATAAATCAATAGCAAAAGAAGCAAAAAAAATCCCAAATTTAAATTTAATAATAATAATATATATATAATAATAATTATAATAAGTAAATCATTTATATACAATAGCATTTATAAAATGTGTCAAAAAATCTTTCAGATTCGTCGTTTTTTTTTGTTTGCTCTTTTCTTCATCGTCTTCTTTTACGTGCATTTATTATGGAATGCGAATCGTCCGGTTCGTGTGTGTGTGTGTCTCTCTCTCTGTTGTTGTAATGCACAACTTTGTAATACTTATTACATACATTCATTATCTAGCAGACTTCACTGGGACAGCAGTCCGGATACAGCTTGGTCTTGTCGTAGCTGGTCGCCTTGCATCCGGCCGTGGCCACGAAAACGCCGCATCTGAAATCATCATTCCATTGCAATCTACATTCTTTTTATTTTCAAACATGTATTATTTTTTTTTTCGTTTTGTGCGCTAAACAATATTTAGTTACCCGATCGCCGTCAAGACTGGTTTTCCATCGACGACACCCTCGCACTTGACGAGCATGCAGGTGCCACGTGGTCCGGGTCCTTGCTCCCCCGCCGCCAACTTGAAATTGGGATCCCTCTCATCGGTGCAATATATTTTCTCTGCAAGTCATCAATGTTAATGATTTATGATAATAATTGTGGACGAATGACGAGTCTGGATCTGCAAATTTATCCATTCATCCACAGCCCGTCCACAATTGCATTATTCGGCTGACGATATCAGCTAATAACATTATGTTTATTGGCTGCTAAATGAAATTGTAACAACATGATTTGATAAGAAGATGAGCGTGGAAATTTCCGGACGGCGTCCGTCCATTCAATCCTTTGCATTTTATCTCCCGAGGGTTAATAACACAAAAAAAAATAATTTATAATAGGTTCAAGGCTGACAGATGACAAGCGCGCGCGTTATTGCACAAATCGTCAAACAAATTACCTACGGACACACACACAAAACGCTCTTACTTTTATCTTTCTCTCTTTCACGCACACAAATACACACACTCTTTATCTGGATGCCTTGTCGTCATCTGCGCTTGATTACTTTGTGGTCTTCTTTTGCCACTTATCATCTTTGATAACCCTCGGAAACTACTTTCAATCTCTCATTCTCTCGCTCTGTACATTTTTGGCTCTGACTAATGGTCGCATGTGAAATCGTTAATCGTAACAATTGTAGTTGTTTGGAAGTCGATCGAGTGTGAACTCACCGTCTGTCTGGATGCCTTGCTGCGTGTCCTGGATGTGCGCTGCCTGAGATGTCGTGAAAATGCACAGCGCCGCGGCGGTAACAATAAAGATCCCAAATTCAGTTTTCATCTTTGCCGCCAACTCTTGCTCTTTCAGCAGCACGTATTACAACTATTACTACTGCTCGACGATCGCAGATGACTAAGTGCTGTACCCTGACGTCGTATTTAGTCCAATTGTGATTGTCGAATCGTCGTGGTCGTCGTCGTCGCTGAGGAAGAATATGTGCGTGTGCGAGTATTGTACGTGCACGCGCGCTCTTCTGTGTGTAGTTGCGTACGTGTGTATGCTCTGAGGTTTGGATGTACACGGGACGAATAACGGGCCCGAATAGTTGGTGGATGTTGAATGAACCGAATGCTTTTATACGGAGGTCTTGCGGAGAGATAATAGGTCAAACAGCGATAAAGAATAAAAACAAATATCACATTGTTATATAGACATTTCCTGACACCGTTTTATTGACAATGTATCGTTTATTATAATAATAATATGTGCACGATGATGATTATTTCAGTTATCTTTCAGGCTTTTTATGAAAAAAAAAATAATAATTAAAAAGAATAATAGCGATGCAGAGCAATTGCCGACTATAATAAATACAAGACGTGGACTTTCTCCTTCTCCACCCGAAAGAAAAAAAAAAAAACTGTGAAATGGTGTTTGTTAATAATATCTGTCTGTGCCCTTGTCCTTTTGCTGGACCAATAATTGCGCCAATTATATGTGCGGCGTCTCTATCTCTCTCTCATACATACACATACACTATCTCTCTATTGCTCTCCGCTAGATCCGAGATTACGGAGACGGACAGGATTAAAAGAACATTGAACTATTGACACGGGTTATCGCGCGAGACCGCGGAGAAAACCGTTTTCCATCGGTCGGTCGTGAACAGAAAGCGCTGACTTTACGCGGGATGTCGGAAAATTTTCGGCCGACAGACTCGTGGGTGCCGCGACGAAATTTCCTAATCCAAACATATATTTTGCGTTTACAAAGAAACTTGTCATTTACGTACATATTCATAATCAAATAGATCTATCTGCGCTCTCTACACAAACTCGAAACCTTTGCTTCGTTCTGCTAACTGTTGCACTTCAAAAGACTACCTACCTGCAATTTCCAACATCTTTCTTCGCATTATTGCTTATTAAATATTAGTTATGTGCGATTATTTTAAAAATAATACATAAAATTTATTAATCAAAATATTTGAACTTAATTATTATGTTTGTTGTTACAGACCATTTATATACAGTGGAACCTCGTATAACGAGCATTTGGCTTAACGAGCAAAATGAATTGTAAGAAAAATGCATAACGATGAGAAGAGAAGTCCTGGATTGCGCGCCTTCTACATCATTTTTAAAACTTGTGTACACATATGTGTATTTTTCAATATATTTTTCTTTGTCATCTCTGTTTAATGCGGGCTATACTTTGCAAATATAATTATAATATATGAACAAACTATGTACGCTTTATTATATAAACAAATATTAAAAGTATAAAGAGACTTCCAACAAGTCCCCGAATTGATTCAAGTAATATAAACAAATATAAACTCACTTCACCGTGTGTGAATTGGAAAACAGTTCCTAGTGTTAGTGGTCATTCTAGTTGCATCTTAGTATTGTTTGTGATCACAAATTTTTGCAAAACAGTTCCTACTGTTAGTGGTCATCTTAGTGGTCACAAAATTTCCAAACTTATATTCAGACATGTTATTTATGATTTTTTATGTCAAAAGTTGCATTCTAGTTGTGTTTATGATCATACATATTTCCAAACTTTGTTGGGACGTTCTTTGTGTTTTTTTTTTGTACAAAATTTTATTAACACTTGCAAGTCACCGAATAAAAAGCCAAAGAATAAAAAGAACCATAGATATGAAAAGCAAAACCATTTAAAAAGGTGTCCAAGTTATACTTTTTTCCGGCAAGGAACGCATTATACTAATTTACTTTAGTTTATATGGGAAAACGTGTTTCACTATACGAGTAAAAATCCGGAAATTTTGTAACGGATTAAACTCGTTAAGCGAGGTTTCACTACATATGTAATAACAGTTTATTTAAATATACAAAAAAAACAAATCTGCTGCAAAGTAGAAATACGAAAATATCCAAAGAGAGTCTCGTATTTACTTCTTATCCAGTTAACTCGGGTATCCTTAAATTTGATTATCATTTTTTTTTGGAGGACCGATTTCTGAATCAGGTGATGACTGAGGTGGAGTGGCGGTCACAATTACCACATCTAATTCTTGTTAATACTGTGTGTTCATGATTTGCGTTAAATAATGCAATAAAACCTGCATTTTTTATTTGTTTTTCTCTTGGTTATATTTTACATTAAATAGATAACAAATTTAGCAACTCATCTATTGTATATGCAAATTAATTTCCACATCACCGTGTGTAAAACAATAATAATGGAATAATTGTTGTGTGATAACACACAAATACATAAATTACAGCCACACGTACTTCTCGACGAGTGGCAGTATTTCGGTTTTATATTTGTACTCGATGGCTGGCAAGTTGTCCTTTGATACCCAAACGGATCCGTTCTCCCCTTCGGCAAGGACCTTTGCGAGGGCTTCTCCAACTGCTTCGGGCCTGAAAAAATTGGTTTCGATCACATTCATGCTGGCATTATCATTATTATTGATATTTATACGGTTGCATTTTCATCTTGCTCATGTCGATTAGATTCTTGAAGTAATCATTGATATTATTGACTATCGGTGTATCGGTGGCACTCGGGCAGATGGCCATCAACCTGACGGGGAAGTTCTTGTAGTGCGATTCGGTGCCCATCGATTGAGTATAACTGACGACCCCGAATTTGGTCGCAGCGTAGACGGGCGTCGATTCCATGGGCACTAATCCTGCGATCGAGGCTATATTCACGATCACACCTTCCGATCCGCTCTTGTACTTTGGCAGATAATTGAAAAACGCCAAATTCGAAATACGAATGGTGGCCAGCTAAAAACACATGAATAAATATAAAGAATTCGAATTGATATTTTCATTCATTCGTACACACCAAATTGATTTGAACTGTTGCATCGATGTCATCTTGCTTCAAGACGCCGGCGTTGTTGACGACGATGTCCAGATTGCCGAAACGATCGATGGTTTTCTTGAACGCATCTGCGGGTGGTATTTTTTGTTTGTTCAACATTTTGAAAATCTCTACGATATGTAATAAACGAGATACTACTGACCTTCGACGCTCTTCGCATCCGATACGTCCACTTTCAAATATAACGTTTTATTTCCACCGAATTCCACGTCCAGAGATTTCAAGAATTCTTCGTTTTCATCTACGATATCCAGAAGTACGACGCCCTTCATATACCAAATCAATTTCGGTGATTAATCAATTTGAATGATTATATAATTTATAAAAAACGTACCCTGGCGTTCCTCTTGAGCAAACTTTTAACAAGTTCTCGACCGATGCCGCCTAAAGCGCCGGTCACAATCGCAACAGTTTCCCTCACGTCGAACATCTTTTCTGCTAAAAAGTCGAGTAACGAATGACTTGTTGCGGCATTCTTTCATATACATATATACACAAACACACACATTTATATATATATATATATTTAAATTATTTTTCTACATGGAAATTTTTGTTTTGAACCTGTTTGTTTCAGTTAATATTATCTAAAAATAAATAAATTTCAATGATTTATAACCAATTATAATCAACCTTTACACTTTGTTGTGTCATTTAACTCTATTAACAATTATTACAAATTATCAAATGATCGTTACTTTTGCGTTTTGTGTTGCTTTCCATATAATCTTGGGAAATTCTTGTTCTCGCGCGACGATTTACAGATCACTCTGAGTAATTTAATATTGCATTCCAGTATCGCACCTGTCGTGTTGCACCTGCAAAAGCTCAAGGGTCACATGTTTTTGTTCATTGTTCGGCAAGGTCTTCACTTACCTTAATTTCGTTAATCATCCGAATTTTTGCAGTAATCCCATTGAACGACTTTCTCCTTCCGTCGTCTTCGGCGGCGGCGGTCCACACAACCTTGCACTTTAATCAACAAATTCTCTTTTTTTTTCATCATCACGAAGATCAAGATCGATGTCTGTTTTCTTTTTGGATGTATTTTATTGTGTGGGAATAATAAGTAATAATAATTCAATGACTTTACTTGTAAATATATTATTTTATTTAATATTGAACACTTAATATATAAAACATATTAATAGTTCATTTGAAGATGAAGTGGAAAAGGAAGAGAGAGAAAAACATGAATAGATGTAGATTTATAATTTATGGATGGACAGGGTGGGTGGTCAGTGTTTGGATTTGAGCAGTACGTTGTTCTTTTCGATGTGGACTTGCGTGGCGGGCTGACAATTCTGGCAGATCCAGACGGAACCATTTGTCGCCTCGTGCAGAATCTTGATTAAGCCTTTTCCAAGGAACTCCGGACTGCGAATATAAGATAAATCATATAAACATTTTGAATTAAGCGCTAAAACTTTCAATCTATTACGAACCTCTGAAAAGTGCTCTCGTTCATCAGACCTTCGCTCATCTCCGCCAGTTCATCGGGCATGTCCGAATACATGTCGAGCATCGGCGTTTCGGTGCCTCCGGGACAGATTGTGATGATCTTCACTTTGGTCCTCTCGTAGTGGCCTTTCGTGCCCATCACCATTCCCAACGTGATCACCCCTCGCTTGGTGAGTGAATACGTGGGAATGCAGTCATACGGCATCAGGCCAACTATCGATGAGGTGTTCACCACGACGGCCTCGTCGCCTCCTTTGAAGTCTTTCAAATACTTGTTAAACGCCAAATACGTGCTTCTAATTGTCGCTATCTAATAAACATTACAACAATTCATATCATCTACCTAATACGTTTTACATTGAGAACAAACAAATTACCAGGTTTATGTTGAGTGTCCGTTCGAAATTTCTCTCATCCAGAACGCCTGCATTATTGACGACGATGTCTAGATGATGGAAATGATCTATCGTCTTTTTGTAAGCATCTGAGCTCGAGATAAACAGAAAAAAATACGTTACTTCCATTGGAATGGTGCAGCTCGATGAAACCACTTACCTTCTAATTGCTGCAAATCCGTTACATCGGCCTTTATGAAAAATAATCTCTGCCCTCGGAAGCACTTCTTCAGATCCTCTATAAACTTCTCGGCACAAGCATCATTTATATCCACCAATGCAACACCCTACATATAATCGTATAAAATAAATTTGCATTCGACTACTTTTCGTTATAAAAGAGCGTATATATAATGATTAGTGATTAATATTGCAGAAAATAATTACATTTCATAAATTTAGAAAGAAATGTGCATTTTGACCTATTTTTTTTAAGCTGGTGAGATATTTATTACTTACCTTAATGTTGTTCTGGAGCAGAGCCCTGATGTATTCCTGACCGATCCCACCTAGAGCGCCGGTCACCAAAGCCACCTTTTCAGAGATCGGAAACATTGTCTCAGCTATAAAGTTGTCTTTCGATTTGAACCATTTCGAGAAAATTGGTGGCATATGTAGTTGCAATGCAACCTTGAAACTTTACGTCATTCTATCTTTCAGGCGGTCGCAATTTATTATAATTACGAGAATAATATCAATATCAACACAACGAAAACAAAACTTCGTACGTGTGATTTTGAGTGCTCGTGAACTAATCTTGCACTTGTTTACAGTGTAATGAACACGTGTCGGGTTGATTGGTTTTGTTGCTGCAAAATCTATAGATGCTCTCTTCTTATCATCATCGCTTCCTTGTTTCTTGAATTTATGGAATTGCACAAATACGTATATTCGAGAAGAATCCAAATGTTCTTAACTTTATTATTTATATTGTATCGCGATGTTTGTTAACAAAATTAAAATTAATCTTTTGAATATAGATTATTTGCTAGAGCAAGGAAACAACATCAATATTATATAATAGGCAACAAAATATAATATGAAATATTTATTACAGAGATTCAACAAAGAACAATTCGTACTGCTGCTAATTAATATCATCATCATCATACATAATGTTATTCTTTGTGCGTGTTTTTTCTTCTTCAAGTAGCAGAAATAATTTGAATTTTGTATTGTTTCAGAAGTGTATCGTCATCGTTAAATTGCCTTGTCGTTGTAGAGTCAGATGGGGCCTGTTACACGATGCCCCCAGAAGCCATGAGGCTGGACAGTCCTCCGTGCACTAACCATAACAACAACAACAGCATCAGCAGTAATCTCAATAATAACAACAACGCAGTTTCCGGCGACGAGCTGGCTCTCTTAGCTAAACTGGAGGAGGCGAATCGCCTCTACGAGTCCGATGCCAAGTCGCTCAACTCTTTGAGCGGCGGCGCTTCGGCATCAGGACATTCGAGGAAGAGCTCGGACACCTCGCAAATATCATTAACATCAGGTAAAAGAAGATGCTAAACATTAATATTGTCGGTTATTTAATATATTTTTTATTCTTCCACCAGGAGCTAGTTCTACGCAAGAGAAGGTGGACGATGGCGAAGATCTGTGGGCCGTCTGGGGTCAGATTATCGGCGACTGGGAAACCTCGTGGAAGAAGCAGAACGCGCAAGTACGAGATTACGTGCGACGTGGCATTCCGGTGCATTTCAGGGGAATTGCCTGGCAGCTGCTCTGCTCTGCGACCGAAGCCACCGAGAAGAAGCTCTACGCCGAATACATCAAGGTAAATCAAACACTGTTACATTTAACTCATTCACCTGCTTCAAATATCTTCATGTCCATTCTGTTTCAGACAAAGTCGCCCTGCGAGAAGGTCATCAGGCGTGACATCGCACGAACTTATCCCGAGCACGACTTCTTCAAAGAGAAGGATGGACTCGGTCAGGAGTCTCTGTTCAACGTCATCAAAGCGTACTCGCTGCACGATCGCGAAGTTGGCTACTGTCAAGGAACAGGATTTATCGTCGGGCTGCTGCTGATGCAGGTAATTATTAATTAATTTATTATTATTATTATTAATATTATTAAAACGACGATGATTATTTGCAGCAAATGCCCGAGGAGGAGACGTTCGCGGTATTGGTGAAGATCATGGAGGATTACCGAATGCGCGACATGTTCAAACCGAGCATGGCCGAATTGGGTCTGTGCATGTTCCAACTAGAGAATCTGGTCAGCGAGCAACTGCCCGAACTGTACAGACACTTCCAGTCCCAATGTTTCCACACGTCCATGTACGCCTCCAGCTGGTTCTTAACGCTTTTCACCACGACACTTTCCCTCCCTTTAGCCTGCAGAATAATGGACGTGTTCCTCTCTGAAGGAATGGAAATCATCTTTAAGGTAGCTCTGGCCATGCTCACCTTGGGAAGGGACGACCTGATGTCGATGGACATGGAAGGAATGCTCAAAGTATGAAATATCTATCACCCTCACCTCAATCAATAGCATCCTCACATTTTTTATTGCAGTTCTTCCAAAAAGAATTGCCGTCGCGCGCTGAAGCCGACCAGGAGTCGCTAATGAGGTCCTCCTTTGGCATGAAGATTAACACTAAGAAGATGAAGAAATTGGAGAAAGAGTATAGCATAATCAAAGCGAAGGAGCAAGAGGAGATGGCCGAATTAAAAGTAACTGTTTAACCATATTATTTCGCGTTTGATCGATTTCTAATTCACTAATTCTAATTCGTTGTTGCAGAGATTGAGGAATGACAACAAGAAGCTAAAGGAAAGGTGTGAAATGCTGGAGGAGGAGAGCAAAGCACTGGCGGATAGATTGGTGAGAGGACAGGTGAGCCGAGCCGAGGAGGAGGAAACCACATTTGTTGTACAGAGGGAACTGGATGGTCTCCGACACACTCATCTCGCTACCACGCATCAGTTGGCATTGGCCCAGGAGAAGATAAAACAGTTGTCTCTGATTATGGAGGAAACGGTAATGGAACTTGAGCGTCTTCATCGTCCTCAAATATTTTGAATTCCAGCATTTCTTTCTTCAGCACATTTTCACCATTATCGTTATTATTATTTATAGCATTCATCGCGGCAATCGTCGTTGGAGGAGATGTCGTTGAAGGCGGAGCAGCTCGAGCAGAGGGAGTCGATGATTGTGTGTTTGCAGGAAGAGTTGGTAAAGGTGAGACTGAGGGAAGCCGAGAACGACGTTGTCATACGTGACTTGCGTGCTCGCATCCATGAACTAGAGGAGGACAAGAAAACGCTGCGAGAAATCACGCCGGACAATAGCGTGGCTCATCTGCAGGAGGAGCTGATCGCGGTGAAACTACGCGAAGCCGAGGCAAACCTATCGCTCAAAGATCTACGACAGAGAGTCTCTGAACTGAGCTCGCAGTGGCAGCGTCATCTGCAGGATGGCAGACAGGACTCCTCGTCATCGTTGTCGATGGCGAGCGACGCACTGAGCACACCCAAGAAGCTGCTCTGGGGCGGCGGCAGGAATGAGACGCAAAAACTGGAAGAGGAACTTATGACTACCAGAATAAGAGAGATGGAGACCTTGACCGAGGTGAAGGAGCTACGACTGAAGGTGATGGAGCTCGAGACGCAAGTGCAGGTCGGAACGAACCAGCTGAGGAGGCAGGACGAGGAGATTAAGAAGCAGAAGGAGTTGCTCGAGACGGCCGAACTGAAGGACCGCGACTGCGCGTCAAATCAACTGATCGAACGAAGAAGATACGCGGATCTTGAGAGCCGAATGAAGGACGAGCTTATGAAAGCAAGAATCAGCGACACCGAGAAGACTCAGGCTATCGCCGAGCTCACGCAAAAGATAAGCCAGCTCGAATTAAAGGTAGGTGTTGATGAGGGTGGTAGTTGTGTTAGGTGGATAATATCATACATGCTTGACGTTGCAGAACGAGGAGATCGCGACCGAGGGAGAGCTGCGGAGCCATCAAGTCGATGACAGCGACCGCGTGCGAGATCTGCAGGACAAAGTTGCCGATCTTCAAGCCGAGGTGAGAAGACAATTATCATCAATATCGTTATTTAGCCAAATAAATCGATGGCAAAAAAACCCAAGACAAATATAATAAATATTTCACTGATATTAATCTACTACTAATACTAATAATGGTGTCAAGTCAACAACAATCAAAATCAACTGTCCACCATGAACTTCCATCGGCCCCATCCTCCGCATTAAATTTTAACGACTTGATTTCTTAGCACTTTTGCTTAATTTATGTTTATCGAGCTTGACGAAATGCGAGTTTCTTCATCTGTAAATAATTACATTTATTGAGATAGAGAGAGTCTAGCTTTCATGTGGATGAATGAGGTGGTGAGATACTCTCGGGTTGTTGTTGGTCTGTTTTAAATTACTTGCACACAATATGATGTGGATGCGTGCGTGCGTGCGATATTAATTCGATTTATAATTGTGTGCAGTTTCCTACGCCCATAACAAGTCCAGACACAGAGCCGTGGAAATGGCTCGAGTAAGTGCAATTAAGCTTTGTAATGCTGATGATGTAATGTGGAATGCACCACCCTACCCTTTCCAATCTTCATTCTCCTTCTCATTTATGCTTCTCCTCGTCTTTGTTGTTTGAATATTGCATGCTGTTTGCACGTAGACTCTTTTTACCATTTCTTCCTGATAGTTTTATCCAGGATAATAATCCACCGTCAATCCACAACAATTGTACGTATCCTAGTGCACGATACATTGAACGAACATTATGTTAATCGTAGAGTGATTGCTTCATTGTGCTAAGATCAAGTGCATGAGAGATATAATTGAATATCGTAATGTACCCAATAATATATTTACAGTACAATACATTTATTTAGAATCTTTCAGTAGACAGTATTTTCATTATTTTAAAGTAGTTGGTGGGATGAGATACGTTCGAATCGTGGTTGATAGACAACTACCACCGCAATGGTCATCATCATCATCACAATCACCAATAATCGTTGTTAATTGATGGTTACGTGCATGCACTTCTTGTCTTTTTCTCGTTTCGCAGGTCATGAGACTGGAGGCCATGAATTTTCCGAAAGGATCTTTTAGGGTACCGACCGGACGGACAGCCTCCATCGACTCGACCGACGAAGAGTCAAAGATCCGCATATTCGATGATCCTTCGTTGCATCTGCGGATTGCCGATTCACCCAGCGAGGAGATTCAACAGCAATTCCCTGATGTCCAAAAACCACAACCAGAGAACCACAACAACAACAGCAGCAGCCCCACATCGGAAACCACCGCACACGAGAACCACCACAATCTTGAAGACCAAAACAAGATGGCTCAAATGTGACGGCAAACCCACCACACAGGATCGAGAATATTTTGAAAAATAAAAAGAAACAAACACATACACACACACACACAAAGCATACAAACAATTTCATAGAAGGTCTACAGCAACTTGAATTGGATGTACTTGTATAGTGATAAACTAGGATTTTTTTCTGTGTTTTTTATATCAATCTCTCTTTTTTTTTTGATAATAGAGAAAGCCTGTAGAATGATATTATTATTGCTGATGTTGTTGTTGTTGTCGTCGTCTGTGTATCTAGCTTTAAGTAAATAATTATTTTAATGAGAGATTTAACTTGAACTGGTCACATTTACTGCGTGCGGCTACGGTAAATGAGGATCTTTACATTAGGATCAAACGATGATGAAGGTGATCATAATGATAGGTGAATCGTATATGTGGTGAATTCAGGGTAGCAAAATTATTTACCAGAGCTTTCCATTAAATAGTACAGTTCTCCTCTGTACAAATTAAATTATTTAATCTACTCAATCCTCTGTGTGTCAAATTGTTTAAAATAATGTGATGTGACAATTGAAACATTCCCATCGACGCAGTAACGATGGTTCCGACCGATACAGATTGATTCATGCATAAATTGATCAATTGAACACACACACACTCTTTATCTCTCTAAAATACACACACACACATATATATATATATGTGCATTTAAACTACATTCTAGTTTTAGCAGAAATATATTAATCAATTTAACAAAATTAGTGAGAAAACTGTGCGTGTAAAACAAAAAAAAAATCTTAGATTAAGATTCTTCTTGTAAAGTATTTTGGATAGGGGAAGCATCAGATTAATAGGTAAAGAAACAAACAAAAGTAACCCTCTCTCTTAAAACATTCCAAATCGAAAGTAAGACAACATACTGTAACGTGGTAAAATCGACAACGCTGCAAGTGCGCTCCACGTTGCAACTATGTTTCCAAAATTCGAAGAGACCGCAGCGAACCGCGGAAGAAGACGGTTGAGGTCTCCAGTTTAAGAAGATATTCTGATATATTTGTAATCTCCAAGAGGACGGTGTAGGTGCTCTAGAGGAGCTAAGGCCCACCGTCGGAGAAGAAGTTGCTGATCTGGAAGCAGTTGTTAGAGTTCTTCCTCTCTATAAAAGGAAGTGGCGCCCTGAACCTTCCCACGTCACGGACTCACGCCCTAGCGGGTTGAAGATTGATATATCTTATGTTTTTTTATGTACACGAGCAATATCGTGTTACAATACTTACACTCACAGGACATCGAAAACTCATACCTGTCAATGAACCCCACTCATTCCCAATTTACAACTTTTTGTTGTCTCATACATACATATTACCTTATTGTGTGTTGGCTTTGGTTAACACCACTGTTCCACATTTAATTTACCTATTAGCAATAATTTATTTCGCGATTACTAAATGTTATATGAAGGATATTTTAAAATATTTATATTGTTGTATTATTTGAATGGTTTTATTCTGTATATTGATTTGAATAAAGTTTCAGAAATCAATAACCATAATCTATTATCTAACTAATAACAACTCTACTAATAACCATCGAAGATCAAACGAAAATGTTTTCGTGAAGAAATATGTATGATAGTATGCGTGAAACAAAAACGAAATCAGTATAGTGTCAGAGTATTATATAAAATCCCTGGTTTTGTCAAAAAAATAAAAATATTGAAAAAAAAAAAGTAGTGAGAGAGTGACAGTATAGTGAAGAGGGAAGTGCAATTTTAATATCGCATGATTTTATCGAGGCAATTTTAATTTGATCAAAAGGAGGTGGAGGAAGAACCGGAGTTTCTTCATTTTAATTGGAGTATGAGTGAACATTTTGTGATAAAGCTGAGGAAATCGACGAGGTCGAAGTGCGCTAATCAATCGGCGACAAGATTGGCAGCGGCGCGCAGAGCCGGCCGCAAAAAAAAGACGACGACGACGGCATCTTCGACGTCGACGTCTTTGTCGTCGTGCAATATCAGCAAAAGGTGCTACTGCAGCCCGCAGCCCAGCAGTCCGATTGAGTTCCCACCCATCTGGTCAGAGTTTCGATCCAATGGACAGTTGTGCGACGGCACCGTGCGTTGCGAGGACGGTACCGAGTTCAAGGTACATCGTGCCATCCTCTCGGCCGTCAGTCCGTACTTCAAGGCCCTCTTCACCAACTCCATCAATCGCAATCAGCCGGAAAATAGGATCGCCGTCATGAACGCTCCCAGCGATATATTCAGGAAGCTGATGGACTTTGCATACGCCGGTCATTGCCTCATCACCGATGATACGCTCGAACCTCTGATACGGCACGCCGATCAGTACGAAGTGCTCGGCGTCGTGCAGCTCTGCTGTCAATATATATTAGGTACAAAAAATATCTGTACATCAATCAACCAACATTCTATTACATTTCTTTTCTCTCTCCATCTCGCACACAAAACACTCACTTTCTCTTATGATTATTGCGTGTGAGTGTGTCCTTTTTTTTATTCGCGCAAGATCATCTGAGTCCTGAGAACTGTTTGGGAATGCTGCGGTTCGCGAGGCATTACTTCTGCGTGGAGCTGGAGCGCAGGGGACGTCGTTTCGTGCGTTTCAATTTTGGCGAGGTGCTTAAATGCGGTGACGGCGGCAAGGAATTCGAACGACTTCCCGTGGAGGATGTCATCGAGATCCTGGGGGACGACGATCTGAACGTGCGCTCCGAAGAGGCTGTATTCGAGGCCGTGCAGAAGTGGGTGGAGCACGATATCGCCGGTCGCGCCCATCATCTGCCCGATCTGTTGAAAGTCGTCAGGATGGGCAACCTTTCCGCCGAATACCTTACATACAGCGTGCTGCAGTGGCCGCCTATCGACGCCGACAATGTAATACCTAATCCACATATTACAGCTTCATCATCGTCTTTTTTACTTGATCACCCAACACCGTCGCCGATTGTTAATAGGAGCACGCGCGCGCTTTCTTCAAACAATCACGACGCGTTTTTGAAGACAATGATGATGTTGCTGCTTAATAATTGTGACTAATTGATTAATTATGATTTTGTTTCTGTTGCCGTTGCGGCCGAGGAAGGAATGCAAATCGTTGATTGGTGACGTGTTCAAGCTGATGGATAGCGCACCGAAAGACGCGACCCTAGGCCATCATCCGCAGCTGAGACCCAGAGTGCCGCACGACATCCTCTTCGCGGTGGGCGGATGGACAGCAGGCAGTCCGACCAATTTCATCGAGACATACGACACAAGGGCGGACAGGTGGTTGCTGTCGCGAGACAACGACCTCGTGCCTAGAGCCTACCATGGCATCTGCACCCTGGACGGACTCATCTACATGATCGGTAGTTAGGCTATTAACTTGTTTTTACTTTCCCATCTAATTCGTCAATGTTTCAGGCGGCTTCGACGGCAACGAGCACTTCAACACAGTACGGTGTTTCGATCCGGCTACCCATCTGTGGAAGGACTGCGCTTGCATGTACTACCCCAGGTGCTACGTGAGCGTGGCAGTGCATGGTGGCAGGATTTACGCGATGGGCGGCTATAATGGTCGCATCCGGATGAGCTCCGCCGAACGCTACGATCCCCAGGTGAACCAATGGCAGCAGATACAGCCGATGCAACGGCAGAGGTCGGACGCGAGCGCCGCAGCACTCGACGACAAAGTACTGCAGCAAGTACTTACAAAGCGATAATCAAAAAAAATCAATCATATCCAATCTGCAAATTGCATACGTCTGGGCGAATCATAAGTTCATGCTCTGTCCTATATACTGGTATTATTTTTTTACTTATGCCTATTCAATCAATTCGATATCACCGAACGCTTGAACTTATGACTCGTCCGTCTTATAAACGCGCAAACATAAATAATGCTCAGACCTGTGCAGATTTACATCGTTGGCGGCTTCAACGGCACCGAAGTCATGAACTCGGCGGAGGTGTACGATACTCTCACAAATCAATGGTCGTTCATTCCGCACATGATATCCGCCCGATCCGGAGTATCATTGGTCGCCTTCAAGGACACCCTGTACGCCCTCGGCGGTTTCAACGGCTTCACCCGACTCACCTCCGGCGAAAAGTACTCGCCAAATTTTCACCATCACTGCAGCAGCAGCAACAATAACAACAGCATAGGAGGAGGAGGATTAGGAGTAGGTGGCGAATGGGTACAGATAGCTGAGATGTTCTCGCCGCGCAGCAACTTTGCCACCGTCATCCTAGACGAGTACATCTTCGTCATAGGTGGATTCAACGGTACGCATGAAGCGAAACAGATGCATCGACCACCAACAACCGCTCATAATCATATTGCAACGTCGGATGTTTACGTCTTTCACGGTCCTGGCCCTTATAATGTATAATTTATAGATCGATTCGTAGCAGGTTCTACAACGATCAACTACGTCGAATGCTATGATTCCGAGGCGAACGAGTGGTTCGATGCGGCCCCGATGAATCTGAACAGATCGGCCCTGAGTGCCTGTGTCATCAGTGGTCTTCAGAACGCCAAGGACTACTCGCTGTTGGGGAGAAGCGTCAGCGAGTTGGGACAAGGGGCGAGCGGATGTCAAGCGCAGCAAGACACAATCACCGCTGCAACTACAACACCAGCACCATAGACGACAAAACCATACTCCATTTAGATTTTTATTTGATATTCAACGGCGCTAGTTGTTTTTAAGAATATTTTAACCGTTTTAATTGTGGCATTGCCCTCTTACGCATTATACTGAATGAAACTAGACGAAATCAGAGGCATGAGAAAATAAAATTTTATATACAACTTTATAAATAAATACAACTGTGGCCTTTCTACGTCCATCACCCGCACACTCTCATAATTAACACACACTGTCATAACATCACATACCCAATTAAAGAAAACATTCTTCATATGTAAAAATAAAAATTTAAAAAAATTGAATAGTACCAGAGTTTATTAACATTAATTACCTTTTTTTTATTCCGATTTTCTGACAAAAATATGAAAAAAAATAGTTAATTTATACTTGAGAATTGATTTTTAATCTGCTTGATATGTGCTTCAATTTACAAAAGTATTAAATGTTAATTATGTAATTGTTATTTGGCATTTTGAATGCTGGTTTTCCTTTATAAGTATAAATAAATTCCTTAAAAGAAGGTAAAACAAAGCTACTATGTTTTTTTGTGTTAGATAATATCGAAAATCGGAATACCTATATTTGATTAGTGATTCTTAAATTTTTTGGTCTGCGATTATTTTTTTGCGAACCCCCAAAAATATATTTCGCGACCCCCACAGGGTATAACTTATAGTAGATGTACTGACCAAACCACAATGCCGGCAGTTAGATCATTGGAAAGGTTATAGTTTTCTCTTTAATTTGCATATTCGATTGTTTAATTATCACAAGTGGTAATAGATTAATTTAAAAAAACGTGTAGGTATTGCAGAAAATTGAAAAAATTAGTTAAATAAATGGTTATATTCATATATTAGCAAATTACTGTTTTAAAGAATAATTCTTTAGCTTTCGTTTGCTATAAAATAAATTAGTTTTGGTCAATTAATAAGAAAGTTATTAAGCTTTAATGCGATGGCAGTTTTCGCGAATCAAAATGTAAGTCCCCCCCTCCAAGTTGATTCACGAAAATGACTTAAAATTTCGATTTGCATCAGGAGAACAGGAGTAGCGAGGAGGTATCTGAGCTCCTAGCATCGGTCGTTCCTGATTGGTTGGAATTTAAAATTTTGAAATTTACGTTTGTGTGAGTGACAGCTACTGGCGCAAGTTAAATTTAAATGTCTTTATTTGATTTCTTGTTTATTCTACTTCTTCTATTTCCTTGTATGGAAAACCTTTCTCTGAACTTCACACTTCACTTCGGGCAAGTAGCAATCGAACATGTAAACAACCATTGATCACTAAAGTTTTTTGTCTTCAGAAAACATACAACAGAAATCTCTGTATATTTTAGATCAACATTAATTTTCAAAATTCTTCTAGAAACAAGTGCTTACAAAAATACAGGCCATTTTCGAAAACGTTGTTTTCCAAACTATCTAATACCAAATCTGTATTTACACTCATTTTAATCTGTATATATTCAAGATCAATATTAATGTCCAAAACTCTTCTGAGAGTTGATGTATACGAAAATACAGGCCATTTTTGAAGACGTTATTTTACCAAAGTTTGTTAATCAATTATGAAGACACCTAACACGCTAATTGTAATCCTTGTATATTCAAGATGAACATCCATATATAATATTCTTCTGGGAGCTAATGTTTACGAAAATACAAGCCATTATCTAAGACGTTGTTTTCCTATTTGTTCATCAAACTGTATGTATGTTTGGTTGTCTGTATTTTAGGCGTAAAATAAATATTTAATTTTTTGTGACAGCAGGCGCCATCTGTTAGCAATATTCCAAAGGTTGTAGTTCAGGCATTTTGGCGCTGCACAAAATCCACATCCTTAAAAACGTTCTAATTTAATTAAACCAACATATAAAAATAGTGCTTGAACATATATAATGTTATTACTTAAGTCTAATAATTAAAATACTAATTATCTTTCGAGTTATATGCATTTTAATTAATACCAGCAGCGACATCTGTCGGAATTTGTAGGAAATAGTCTGCAACCGGCATACGTATGTGTGGTTGCAGACATGTTTCTTGAATATTCCTGCAGATGTTATTGATTCGCGAAAACCGCCAACTCATTAAAGCTTAATAACTTTCTTATTAATTGACCAAAATTAATATATTTTATAGCAAACGAAAGCGAAATAATTATTTTTTTGAACAGTAGACTAAAAGATTCAAATATATATGAATATAAGCATTTATTTAACTATTTTTGTCAATTTGCTGCAACACCTTTACATTTCTTAAATTAATTGATTACCACTCATTAAACTATCAAATACGCAAATTAAAGAGAAAACTACAAGCTTTGAATGTACTTCTTATAATCACTATTTCATAACAAGATCAAAAATAACAATAACAACAAAATAATAGTAATTAATTAAATAAAAATAAATATAATGTAAATAATTGAAAATTAACTATAATACAAATTTATATAAACAAATTTTGTTGAACATTTCAACGTTTCCATTAGAAAATGATAAAGTAACGATGACTCAAACTATTCGGTTTCTCCTCTTATTATTTAAGTGGAAATGCTATAGAAATATTGGGTTTGGTAATAACTTACTTGTAAATCCCTAAATTCAATTCCTATAAAATAACGCTTTCGAAATACGACACGTTAATTAACGTTAATTTGCACACATTCGAGGCATTCATTGAATCACTGTTATTCCACACATCCGACAATGTTTGTATGCGCTTTTCATTCCGTCGCTAATACATGACTAATTCTTGAGATTATTTCAATAGTTTGCTAAAAGATAACTCTACAATCTTATTCAAAATTATTCATTGCAAAACGCCCAAAAAGAATCGAATAGTAAAATTGAAATTAGAGTTTTGTACGTGAAACCCGTACAATAATTGCAAAAAAAAAAACGTGACAAAAGGAATTTCTACTTGTAATTCTTATATTCTGCAAAAACTTTCTATCATTGCTTCTTGCAGTCCATTTTCGTGTATCATTTGATCTACTAAGGCTGCACGAACTGAATGTTTTCTTTAAAGTTTAATCTAGAAGTAATATTAATAATTCTTATGCACATAGAACCTCGGTCTATTTTATATATTTTATTATTGTTTGATTATATCTATTTAAATTAATATCCTAGGATTTTACATTCATATTTAAAATTAAAGAATCTTTAGGAAAACATAAATGTTATGCAGAAAAACATTGTCGCAGCACAAGAAAAATCCATTTTTTTCTACTCAAGGTAATAAAATGTAATGCGATTCAAGTCTAAAAGAGATTGTATAAGAAAGGTTTTGGAAGTGCGAGGAAATCCATGTACGTATGTAACGTTCCAAAGCGACGAGGAAATGTGTCACCGTTGAAAATGCATATGTAATAGATGTTAATTCCAGAGTATAATTGTCGTCGAGGAAAACCGATGCAGATGTGTTGATTCGATGGATGCTAAATTAATTATTAAGTGAAACCGACGTGAGAATTCCAGACCATTATATTTTATTTTGTGTAGAAAGGTGAAGATAATTTCAATAATTTGATTTGCACGATGATCGCACTTGCCATTAGCTGCAGAGGAGGCCGTATCGCAATTACTCAACGTGAAAGTTGTGCAATTTACGGCGTGAATCTTCCTTCGCTAAGAAAAAATAAAAGATGATACATAAAACGTATAAATTTGCTCAGAAAATGCAGAACGTGAAATCGAGTTTCTTCAAGTTTGACATTGAATTATCACTAGATGCCAAATGATATAAAACTAGTATATATGATTTAAAGAATGAATATTTGGCTTTAATTTGGTTGCTTAATAATGAATTTGTCGCTCATACTTATCGAGTTACAAACAAAAATGTAAAGGCACTGCTTTTTAGAAATTTAAAAAAACGTTTTTTTCAAGTTTGACTGTGAATTATGTCTAAACAAAAAATGATTCAGCAATACTATTACATATATTTTAAAGAGTGAATATTTGGCTTTAATTTGGTTGCTTAATAATGAATTTGTCGCTCATATTTATCGAGTTATAAACAAAAATGTAAAGGCACTTCTTTTTAGAAGATTAAAACAACGTTTCCTTCAAGTTTGACTGTGAATTATGTCTAAACGAAAAATGATACAGTAATACTATTACATATATTTTAAAGAGTGAATATTTGGCTTTAATTTGGTTGTTTAATAAGGAATTTGTCGCTCATACTTATCGAGTTATAAACAAAAATGTAAAGGCACTGCTTTTTAGAAATTTAAAAAAATGTTTTTTTTCAAGTTTCACTGTAAATTATGTCTAAACGAAAAATGATACAACAATACTATTACATATATTTTAAAGTGTGAATATTTGACTTTAATTTGGTTTCTTATTAAAGAATTTGTCGCTAATACTTATCGAGTTATAAACAAAAATGTAAAGGCACTGCTTTTTAGAAATTAAAAAACTGCGTTTTTTTCAAGTTTGACTGTGAATTATGGCTAAACGAAACACGATACAGTAATACTATTACATATATTTTAAAGAGTGAATATTTGGCTTTAATTTGGTTGCTTAATAATGAATTTGTCGCTCATACTTATCGAGTTATAAACAGAAATGTAAAGGCACTTTTTAGAAGTTTAAAACAACGTTATTTTCAAGTTTGACTATAAATTATGTCTAAACGAAAAATGATACAGTAATACTATTACATATATTTTAAAGAGTGAATATTTGGCTTTAATTTGGTTGCTTAATAATGAATTTGTTGCTCATACATTTTAAGATATAAGCAAAAATGTAAAGGCACTTTTTAGAAGTTTAAAATAACGATTTTTTCAAGTTTGACTATAAATTATGTCTAAACGAAAAATGATACAGTAATACTATTACATATATTTTAAAGAGTGATTATTTGGCTTTAATTTGGTTGCTTAATAAGAAATTTGTCGCTCATACTTTTTGAGATATAAGCAAAAATATTTCGAAGCTACGATGGTTTTCTGTTTTAAACTTGCGTAGTGGGTGGCATTATTACATCCACTTCTGGCCAAGATTGCTGGAAGATAACATACTAAGGGTATTTTCTACCTAGCCCTTTATCACCGGATGTACTGGAAAATTCCATCAAACCATAAAATAATAATATTTTCTAAATTGTACATGTATTCATTTTGACCTTATTAAGCTACACAATGTTGTTATATGTTTGTTGTAAAAGCTGAACGTGTTCGGTAGTTGTTTTGCGTTTTGCCGTTGTTTGTTTTGATTAATTCCACACGAACG